ATTCATAAATTATATGTTAAAACTTCTTTAACAACATAAAAAATATAACATTTTATGTTGTAGTAATCATCATAAAAGATTTTTGTTCCATGATTCGAAATAACTCAAGAGGTTAAAACAGAATATTCGTCCCAACATGTTTCTATTCCACAGTTAGAAATTTCTACATTTAATAAATAATTACTTCATTGATTTTGTTTGCTTAAGAACTGAAGAGTATTCTAACACAAGAATACCTAAAGTTCTTCTAGGAACACCACAAGAGGATGCATTAAGAAGAGATCTAACTATTAACTCTTTGTTTTATAACATTTTTACGCAAGAAATTGAGGATTTTACCGGTAATGGAATTAGTGATATTCAGAATAAAGTAATTAGAACACCTATTGATCCTTTGCAAACATTTTATGATGATCCTCTTAGAATATTACGAGCATTCAGATTCTCATGTAGATTTTCCTTTAGAATTCATGATTCCATTTACAAAGCTTTAGAGGATAAAAATCTAAGTGAAGCACTTAAACAGAAAGTATCTAATGAAAGAATCGGAGTAGAAATTAAAAAAATAATAACCTATGAAAAAGCCACAGAAGTATTTAATGATTTTATTAAATTTAATTTAATAAAAAGTATTTTTAAGCCTGAAATTGATAGTTTTATAATCAAAGAACATAATTTTATTGATAGGAATATTTTAAATTATGAACCAAACATAGAAATAAAAAACTTGTATTATATTTTAATTTTTTATACAAATTTAACAGTTAAAAGAAAGAAAGAAGAATTTGTTAACACCCTGATATGTAAAGAATCATTGAAATACCCCAATAAATTAGTTAAGGAAGTTAATGAGATTGAAAAAGGAATATACGTTCTTCTCAATAAAAAAATAAGTATTTCCAAAGTAAATTTAATTAAATTGGTGAGAGAACTAGGGGAACAGTGGAAAGATGTTTTCTACTTTGCAATACTCTTTAAAAAATTAAACAACAATTCTTACGATGATTTAATTGCTCTTTACAATGAATTAGTTATTTTAGATGATAAAAATATTCATAGAAAACAGGGCGTATTGGATGGTAATGATGTAATATCTTATTTTAATGTTGATAAATTGCAAATTAAGGATGTAATTGAGGATGGTATTATTTATAAAATAATTAATCCCAATGCTGATAAAGAAGAGGTATTAATTTACTTGAAAGCAATTTATCAGAGAAAATAGTAGTTTTAATTATATTTTTTTATGTTCCAATTTGTAAATTAATTTTATTAATATTTTTTACCTTGCAATTGGTTTTATTCAGCTAAAAATTTAAATTGTATTATAAATGAAATAATCCTAGGATATTCAAACATTTACTCTTAAAAAGCTATTATTTAAAGAAATATTTTGTATTTCAGTGTTAGAGATCAAAAGATGTGAAGAATATAAAAAATATTTAATTAGTACA